AATATAGCTGTATGGTACATTCAAACACGTACCACTTTAAGCCACACCTTGCAGCTCACGCCACACATAGCATTGACCAGCTCATGTGACTAAAAGATAAATAATTTCACAGCATTCAAGGTGCCCCAGCTGCTCTATGCTGTGAGTGTTTGCTCCTTTCTACTGTGCATGCGGAGTCTCTCCTCCAGCATTGTGCTATGCTGGACTCGGTGGTACCTGTCACAGTTTTCACTATAAGGCACATTGCCCCACAGATACGAAGTTTCCAATGCAAGAAAATCATGTGTCAATATGATGTGTCCAGGCGGGGCCAGACTCAGTAAAAATAAGATGGTATTGTGATGGGTTGCCCCCCCTTTCAGGGTGCCACCTGATGTACTGGGGTGCCACGGAGCCTGCCTGTTCCACCAGCCTGGGCCCCCTCACCCTGTCCTGCTAAGCCAGGCTCTCAAGCCTCCTCTAGCGCACGCACACACACACACACACACACAGGTAGAGACATACCCAGCTGCAGAAAAACACTGAAATCAGTACTGCATGGGAAGGCTTTCAGCTAAGTGCACTCCCCCTCTGGAGAGTAAACTGTGACAGACCCAGACAGTGGGATACAGGAGGCTGGTCTTATTGGGATCCAGGAAGTGGGAGGGCTGCTAAAGGATTCCCCCCCAACCTAAGAGGGGGGTCCACAGGACCTGGAAAACCAAATAATTACGGGGGACAACTAATGAACAACAGGGTCAAGAGTGTGGTCAAAGGGTCAAACGAAGGGAACCGGACGGGGACACTGAGCAGAGAACCCCGGACAGCGCCCACTGCTCCTCAAAGGCATCAAGGGAGTCAATGGACGCTGCCCAGAGGAACTCTGCCCGGAGGCGTGAACGGACGGAGGATCGGAAACAGGCCCCACAGTCACAGGAGACTCCATCGGCCAACCTCCTCACCCTGGTTTTATAGATGGCCACTTTAGCCAGGGCTAGGAGGAGCTTGACCAGGAGGTCTCGTGACTTAGTGGGGCCAAGGACAGGGAGTGCATAGATAAGGAGATGAGGGGAAAAGTGCAACCAAAATCTTAACAAAATATTCGTGAGGAACCGGAATAGGGGCTGCAGCCTGGCGCACTCCAGGTAGACGTGCACCAGGGTTTCCCTCATGCCGCAAAAGGGGCAGGTGTCTGGGATGGGGTGAACAGCACCAAGTACACGCCCGTGCTCACGGTCCCGTGAAGAAGCCGCCAACTGATATCCCCGGCAGGCCTCAGGACCAAGGTGGAATATAGGCCGGCCCACCGGGGTACAGGAGTCTGGTCCTATTGAGATCCAGGAAGTGGGTGGGCAGAGCTCGTCCACTACAAAAGGATCCCCCCCCAGCCTAAGGGGGAGATCCACAGGGCCTGGAGAGCCAACTAATTACGGGGGACAACTAATGAAAAACAGGGACGGGAGTGCGGTCAAAGGGTCAAACGAAGGGAACCGGACGGGGACACCGAGCAGAGAACCCCGGACAGCGCCCACCGCTCCTCAAAGGCGTCAAGGGAGTCGGTGGATGCCGCCCAGAGGAACTCCGCTCGGAGGCGTGAACGGACAGAGGATCGGAAATAGGCCCCGCAGTCGCAGGAGACTCCATCGGCCAACCTCCTCACCCTGGTTTTATAGATGGCCGCTTTAGCCAGGGCCAGGAGGAGGTTGACCAGGAGGTCCCGCGACTTAGTGGGGCCACGGACAGGGAGTGTGTAGATGAGAAGGTGAGGAGAAAAGTGCAACCAAAACCGTAACAAAAGATTGGTGAGGAGCCGGAATAGGGGCTGCAACCTGGCGCACTCCAGGTAGACGTGCGTCAGGGTTTCCCTCACGCCGCAAAAGGGGCAGGTGTCCGGAATCGGGGTGAACCGCGCCAAATACACGCCCGTGCTCACGGCCCCGTGAAGGAGCCGCCAACTGATATCCCCGGCAGGCCTCGGGACCAAGGTGGAATATAGGCCGGCCCACCGGGGTACAGGAGTCTGGTAGAAGGCAAATATATTGGCCACTGGATGAACAGTTTTCTGTTCCCTGAGTGACTAGAGCAGGGGCTGCCCTAGAGCAATCAGGAACTTGCTAGAACCAATTAAGACAGGCAAGCTAATCAAGACACCTGGAGCGAATTAAGAACTTACTAGATTCAGTTATGGCAGGCAGGCTAATCAGGACACCTGGTTTAAAAAGGACCTCCCATCAGTTAGTACGGGGGTATGCCAAGAGCAGGGAGTGAAAGGTATGCTGCTGGAGGAGTGAAGAGTTCAAGTGTGATCAGGCTTCAGGAGGAAGATCCTGCAGTGAGGATAAAGAAGGTGCTGGGGGGGTAAGGCAGTGGGGAAGTAGCCCAGGGAGTTGTAGCTGTCACATAGCTGATTCAGGAAACATTGTGGACAGCTGCTATCCATAGGGCCCGGGGCTGGAACCCGGTGTAGAGGGTGGGCCTGGGTTCCCCCCCATCCCCCTCCAACTCCTGATCGGACACAGGAGGAGTTGACTTGGTCTGTGAGAAACACCAGAAGGGAAGGCCTAAATTGGAAAGGGATCTGCCCTGTCCCTGACCCACTAGGTGGGACACAGAGACTGTGGGGATTATTTTCTGTTTCCCCCATGCTGACCAGTGATGAGGTTAGCTGAGTGGACGGCAGGTTTGAGCCACTAGCAAGAGTGGCCAAACTGAGGGCAGCCGTGAATCTCTGAGGCAAGCAAATCTGCCAATAAGTGCAGGACCCACTGAGGAAGAGGAGGAACTTTGTCACAAAACCCAGAATAGTATTGTCTTGTGCTGCACAGAGAACCATACAGCGTAAGCTAACTGAAATTTGCCCTCTCCCTTAATGTGGAGAAAGATATGCACAGCTTCCTCACCCCCAGTTATGAATTACACAAACTGGGTTTAAAACAAAAACAAATGTATTAAAGTACAAGAGGTAGATTTTAAGTGATAATAAGAGATAACCAACAGATTAAAGCAGATTACCTTAGTAAATAAACAAAACTGCAAACTGAGCTTAACACACTAGATAGGTAGGATATAAATAGCAAATTCTCACCCTGAGTGATAAACAGACTGGCAGACTCTTACGGCACAAGTTGCCTTGGCTTTCCCAGGCTTTCATACAGAAACTAAAGATCCTTCTAGCCTGGGACCATCACTTCCTACAGTTCAGTCCTTGCTCCTCAGGTGTTTCCAGGTGTGTTGTTGCAGGGAGAGTGAGATCCCCTACCCCGATATCGTTGTCCCCCTTTTATATCTTCTTCCCACTTGCTGGAAAGCTTTTTTGCTGTGACCTGGGTCAAACAGTTCCCATTGTGTGTGCTATCTCAGAGGTTTCTATTGTACACAGTTCCTGGGGTAATCCTTGTGCTTGTGTGCATTTCCTCCATAAGCCATTAACATTGTTTGGACTTTTTACTGTTGTACCTCAAAGGCTGCTTGTGGGTGTTTTTCAACCTCACAACATGTTTCAGCAACATACACAGCCAAGCTTCATAACTTCACATATGACGGTAGCACATACAATCCAATGACATAACTGTCTAGTAGATCAAGAGTTTTAGAACGATACCTGACGACATACTTTGTACAAAAAATATCCTAATTACATGACAGTGGAGAATATTGGGGTGTCAGAGTGTCACAGGTATGTTCTGTTGTCTAGCCAAAGCAAGGTCTGATTCTGCTCACTTACACGAACATAAGTTAAAGTTAAATCCACAGAGAAACCCTAAAGGGTGTGGCATCTCTAAGAGGGGAAGGACCCCTATATCAGGAACGGACTCTGAGAAAGAGTCTTTTGGTCTGTAGCACATTTGTTTTGCCTGATAACAATTGGTCCTCTCATTCGTCCTTTATAATGGTCGTCCCAACATAGAGTCAACTCACAGCTTTTGAAGCAATGTCATGGCGAGAAAGTAAAGTTGTGAGCTGTGATAGAAAAATAAGACTTCTTGTCTTGTAAACTAGGTTTGTAGGATGCAGGACTGATCCAATGAAAATCAGAATTATGTCAAAAACAATGGGCACTTGCTAGCATCCCTAGATCAGCAGGGTGGACACAAGAGGGTGGGTTTTGTTTTGTTTTTAGCTTTGTTCAAATGCCACGCATAACAGAAACACACAGCGTTAAAAATGAGCTTCACCCCTACAAACTCTGAAGCTGTTGCATATACTGAGTGGAACAATAGGTTTCCCACTCCTTCATTTACTTGGCTACTGGATCACATTTTCATGCCCAGTAACTTTAAAAAGGGCCTTTGTGTACCCTACCATTTGAGCATGTGTGTGTATATATATGAAGGTCAGATTTAATAGTCACCTAATATTGACAATTCAGCTACTGAAGATTTGTTAGCTGTTCAGTGTAAATAATTCACATAAACCCACATGCACAGCATACAAAAACAAACACTAATGGGATGAATTCAATCAGCTGAAAGTCTCTTGAAAAAGCCTGGGGTCATGGGGTTTCCCTCAGAGTTTTCTGTTACGTTCCATTACCATGTGAGTTACATACTTACACTGTAAAAACATTTCAGTTCCTAAATAAATGATTTGGATGCAATTTTTTAAAAATAAAGTGACCGTGTTAACAAACAATAAACAGAAACCTCACGGACAAGTGGATAGAGCTGGGAGTTAGCTTTGCAGTTGATGTTCAAAAGCAGATTTGCGTTTCCTCTGAAGCTGCTCTAAGCTCGTGATACAAGTCCTCAGAGAGTGCACATTAATACAAGCCTGACTGACTGCACAGCATTCAGTGCCTCCATTTCAGATTTGTGAAATTAACATACATTCTAAAATTTCTGTTTCCTTTGGCCTAGGTTCTAATCTGCATTTTGAAAAGGCTCTTAAGAATAGAGATGCCAGTTTGAGTGAATTCACTGCTCTCAGGACACATTTTGCATATCTCCAAGCTCAGTAAAAGCAGGTTTTTGTCAAGGCAGCAGGATAAGTATCACATGGGGGGAAAAATTAATGGTTCTTACCAAGTTGGGAGTGATGACAGCTCTCACAGACAAACTCTGGGAAGAGATAGAAGAAAGAAACAGGTCAATACATAGAAGCGGGAAGACAGTGTATTACCTAAAGCAGAATGCCTCAGCCAGCACCTCTTAATCCCAGAAAATCTCTGTGGCCTGAATAGCAGCTTTTTACAAGGAAAATTCTACATTAAAGACGTATAACTTAATCACAGAAGTTAAGGAAGACAGAGACCTACTAGGTCATCCAGTCCATCTGCTGCCAGTGCAGGATTATTCCCTTTGTACAGGCTAATTTTAGAGTCCCAAGAGTTGGGGTTTCCACCCCGTCCATTTTCAGTTCCCCTCACAACCTAGTACTGTCTGTAAACTGAGAGCCAGCTGATGCCTAAATAGGATATTCAGATCACATGCCTGAATTCTAAAGTCAGCACATTAGCAGGTAAAAACATACATTTGCAAACCTAAATGCAGGATTTTGAACGTAGAAATAACCGGGCTGTCCGTGTTCTCGGGAAGCGAGTGCAGGTCTCGCGTTATTTTGGTAATTCTGACACTGATAAACGTGGCCCAGTGATTCAATCCTGGGAAGTACTGAGAGCCCTCAACTCCTATTGAGTTCAGTGGGAATTAAGGATGCTCAGCATGAGGAAAAGACTGGGCCTCTGCTGCGAAATTTTCAAAAGTGACCTCTGGTTTTGTTTGAGATGCCTTGATCTTGAATTGGACAGATGCTGAGCACCTGCAGCTCCTACTTAGTGACTCTAGTTGGAATTGGGAGTGCTCAGCACTTCTGAAAATCAGACTTAAGTTGTCTCAAGCAGGCCACAAAAACAGAGGAACCCAAAATTGGAGGCCACTTTTCACACAGGCCTTACTGTGAGACCTTAGTGAGACCTTACTGTGAGACCTTACTGTGAGACCTCAGTTAGGCCCAATGTTTAAGATCGTCCATTAAGCCAGAGCGCCTTGGTTTCTGGGTGGCTTATGGTGGGTACCCAAAAAAACAGAGGCATCCAAAATAAATGAACTCTTTTCAGAATGTTGGTCTTAACCTCTTTGTATCTAAGATTGATTGTCTGGATAGCACGTACCCTCCTCAAAGGGGGATTAATTAAGGAATGCTTGTAAATCACTTTCCAATCCTCTGATGAAAGAAGCTGTGTAAGTGCAAAATATTACTATTCAAACTCAAGTGAAGTTCTGTTTGCTGTGTTTGGTAAGAAATTAAAATAAAAGGCTGCAATTTTTCATATAAATGTATTTTTTCCAGTACAAAAACAGTTACAAAATTCACAACTGTAATTTTCCCCTATCCTAATTCTTCTACCCTGAAGGTTTTGATTTTAGCTTTGATTCTAGCATTTAAAAAAATGGCTCTTAGAACAATGACAGGTTTCAGAGTATCAGCCGTGTTAGTCTGTATCCACAAAAAAAACAGGAGTACTTGTGGCACCTTAGAGACTAAGGGTATGTCTACACTATGAAAGTAGGTCGAATTTATAGAAGTCGGTTTTGTAGAAAGCGTTTTTATACAGTCGATTGTGTGTCCCCCCACACAAATGCTCTAAGTCCATGTAGTCGGCGGAGTCCTTTTCTCCTCCCTCCCTCCGTGAAATCAACAGCCTGCTAAATCCAGTTTTGAGCTCTATCCTTGAGGTTTTGAGTTCTATCCTTGAGGGGGCCATTCAGTTTCTCGCAAAGCCACCCCCTTTACTGATTTTAATTCCCTGTAAGCCAACCCTGTAAGCCATGTCGTCAGTCGCCCCTCCCTCCATTAGGGCAATGGCAGACAATCGTTCTGCACCTTTATTCTGTGCAGACATCATACCACGGCAAACATGGAGCCCGCTCAGATCACTTTGGCAATTAGGAGCACATTAAACACCACGTGCATTATCCAGCAGTATATGCAGCACCAGAACCTGGCAAAGCGAAACCGGGTGAGTAGGCGACGTCAGTGCGGTGACAAGAGTGATGAGGACATGGACACAGACTTCTCTCAAAGCACGGGCTCCAGTAATGTGGGCATCATGGTGCTAATGGGGCAGGTTCATGCTGTGGAACGCCGATTCTGGGCTCGGGAAACAAGCACAGACTGGTGGGACCGCATAGTGTTGCAGGTCTGGGACAATTCCCAGTGGCTGCGAACCTTTCGCATGCATAAGGGCACTTTCATGGAACTTTGTGACTTGCTTTCCCCTGCCCTGAGGCGCAAGAATACCAAGATGAGAGCACCCCTCACAGTTGAGAAGTGAGTGGCAATAGCCCTGTGGACGCTTGCAACACCAGAGAGCTACCGGTCAGTCGGAAATCAATTTGGAGTGGGAAATCTACTGTGGGGGCTGCTGTGATGCAAGTAGCCAACGCAATCAAAGATCTGCTGATATCAAGTGTAGTGACCCTGGGAAATGTGCAGGTCATAGTGGAGGGCTTTGCTGCAATGGGATTCCCTAACTGTGGTGGGGCCATAGACGGAACCCATATCCCTATCTTGGCACCGGAGCACCAAGCCGGCAAGTACATAAACCGCAAGGGGTACTTTTCAATAGTGCTGCAAGCACTGGTGGATCACAAGGGACGATTCACCAACATCAATGTGGGATGGCTGGGAAAGGTACATGACGCTCGCATCTTCAGGAACTCTGGTCTGTTTCAAAAGCTGCAGGAAGAGACTTTATTCCCAGACCAGAAAATAACCATTGGGGATGTTGAAATGCCTATAGTTATCCTTGGGGACCTAGCCTACCCCTTAATGCCATGGCTCATGAAGCCATACACAGACAGCCTGGACAGTAGTCAGGAGCTGTTCAACTACAGGCTGAGCAAGTGCAAAATGGTGGCAGAATGTGCATTTCGATGTTTAAAAGCGTGCTGGCGCAGTTTACTGACTCAGTTAGACCTCAGCGAAACCAATATTCCCACTGTTATTACTGCTTGCTGTGCACTCCACAATATCTGTGAGAGTAAGGGGGAGACGTTTATGGTGGGGTGGGAGGTTGAGGCAAATCGCCTGGCTGCTGGTTACGCACAGTCAGACACCAGGGCAGTTAGAAGAGCACAGGAGAGCGCGGTGCGCATCAGAGAAGCTTTGAAAACCAGTTTCATGACTGGCCAGGCTATGGTGTAAAAGTTCTGTTTGTTTCTTCTTGATGAAACCCCCCGCCCCTTGGTTCACTCTACTTCCCTGTAAGATAACCACCCTCCCCTCCTCCCTTCAATCACCACTTGCAGAGGCAATAAAGTCATTGTTGCTTCACATTCATGCATTCTTTATTAATTCATCACATAAATAGGGAGATAACTACGAAGGTAACCCGGGAGGGGTGGTGGAGGAGAGAAGCACCAGGAAGGGTGGTGGAGGAGGGAAGGACAAGGCCACACAGCACTTTAAAAGTTTAAAACTTTAAAACTTATTGAATGCCAGTCTTCTGTTGCTTGGGCAATCCTTTGGGGTGCAGTGGCTGGGTGGCCGGAGGCCCCCCCACCGCATTCTTGGGCATCTGGGTTAGGAGGCTATGGAACTTGGGGAGGAAGGCGGTTGGTTACACAGGGGCTGTAGCAGCGGTCTGTGCTCCTGCTGCCTTTCCTGCAGCTCAACCATTTGCTGGAGCATATTAGTTTGATCCTCCAGCAGCCTCAGCATTGAATCCTGCCTCCTCTCATCATGCTGCTGCCACCTTTCAGCTTCAGCCCGCCACCTCTCCTCCCGGTCATTTTGTGCTTTCCTGCACTCTGACATTGTCTGTCGCCACGCATTCGTCTGTGCTCTGTCAGCGTGGGAGGACAGCATGAGCTCAGAGAACATTTCATCGCGAGTGCGGTTTTTTCACCTTCTAATCTTCACTAGCCTCTGGGAAGGAGAAGATCCCGTGATCCTTGAAACACATGCAGCTGGTGGAGAAAAAAAAGGGACAGTGGTATTTAAAAAGACACATTTTCTAGAACAATGGGTACACTCTTTCAGGGTAAACCTTGCTGTTTACATTACATACATAGCACATGTGCTTTTGTTCCAAGGTTGCATTTTGCCTCCCCCCAGTGCGTGGCTAGCCACTCCACCCCTCCCTGTGGCTAACAGCGGAGAACATTTCTGTTTAGCCACAGGCAAACAGCCCAGCAGGAGTGGGCTCCTCTGAGTGTCCCCTGAAGAAAAGCACTCTGTTTCAACCAGGTGACCATGAATTATATCTCACTCTCCTGAGGGTAACACAGAGAGATAAAGAACGGATGTTGTTTGAACGCCAGCAAACATACACTGCAATGCTTTGTTGTACAATGATTCCTGAGTACGTGTTACTGGCCTGGAGTGGTAAAATGTCCTACCATGAAGGACGCAATAAGGCTGCCCTCCCCAGAAACCTTTTGCAAAGCCTTTGGGAGTACGTCCAGGAGAGCCGCAAATGCCAGGGCAAATTAATCATTAAACATGCTTCCTTTTAAACCATGTATAGTATTTTAAAAGGTACACTCACCAGAGGTCCCTTCTCCGCCTGGCAGGTCCGGGAGGCAGCCTTGGGTGGGTTCGGGGGGTACTGGCTCCAGGTCCAGGATGAGAAACAGTTCCTGACTCTCGGGAAAACCGGTTTCTCCGCTTGCTTGCTGTGAGCTATTTACAACCTCATCATCATCATCATCTTCCTCATCCCCAAAACCTGCTTCCGTGTTGCCTCCATCTCCATTGAAGGAGTCAGACAACATGGCTGGGGTAGTGGTGGCTGAACCCCCTAAAATGGCATGCAGCTCATCATAGAAGCAGCATGTTTTGGGCTCTGACCCGGAGCGGCCGTTCGCCTCTCTGGTTTTCTGGTAGGCTTGCCTCAGCTCCTTAAGTTTCACGCGGCACTGCTTCGGGTCCCTGTTATGGCCTCTGTCCTTCATACCCTGGGAGATTTTGACAAATGTTTTGGCATTTCAAAAACTGGAACATAGTTCTGATAGCACGGATTCCTCTCCCCATACAGCGATCAGATCCCGTACCTCCCATTCGGTCCATGCTGGAGCTCTTTTGCGATTCTGGGACTCCATCATGGTCACCTCTG